AAGTATAGAAGGTTGGTGGGACGTCTAATTTATCTCACCATAACAAGACCTGATATTATGTCTTTAGTACATATTGTTGTGAATTCTAGACAACCTGAAAAATAGAGATTATAAAGATTAGTCTAAACACAAATTATACTCGCAAGTGCACAAGGTCAATCGTAATATAGTATGGCAAGTACGAGGTCATTCCCGCGAGGATTGAGTTCAACTACCAATTAGTCTAACCTAATTTACTTCACAAAATACTTTAACTACTCTAATTATAAAAATAAGAAATTAACACACGTAGCATACTCACGTAAACACAAAAGGGGTTTTTGAAAGAATGATTTAATTACCAACGAAATTAAAAGATAAAACAAGTAGGAAGTCACGAAACACAAGAATGAGAAATTCAAATTGATAAAAGGACTAGGACAATGAATTCACCACTAGTAATCCGATCTAGCCTCTTATTCACCTACCTATTAATTAACCATTTGATGTCGCCGCTTAATTTTCCTTTTTCATGAATTACCTATGGTATTTAGGCTAACTCGTATATTCCTACATGCAATTCGCCTATGGTATTTAGGTCAAATATCAACACATAGAAATTCATTAAGATCAGCGAAAACCTCGAACAAACATGTAAACCCTAGGAGTATGATATTTACCCTAGATGAATTACAAATTCTAATCACAAGAAGCAAGCCTCAAATTAAGTATGGTATTTACTCAAATTTGCATCTGATTAACTCAACTAAAAGTCTAAAAGGTGATTAAGCATCAAGATAAGAAACCAAGTTATTACGCACAGTGATTAAGAATCCAACATCAAACGGCAATCAATAGATAGGTAAAATAAGAAAACTAGATTATCACACTTGGGCTACATCATACCCTAGAAAAGGAAAATTAGTTACACATAATCATAGAATTCGACATCAGAAAAAATATAACTAAGAAACAATCAAACTTAGCCAATTGCAGTACTCTTCCGGTATCTCCAATTTCTCCTAGTCTTTGCGTGTCTCTCTCTTCCGGTGTCTCATGCTTAAATAAAACATCACACATCTATTCCTATGCTAGCTGGGCTTTTACAGCAGCCAAAGAATAAAGAAAAACTTAATTAAAACATAAATCCAAAATGGGTAAGTAATTGACTCCTCTTCCTACTTTGACTGGGATAACACTTCAGTTATTTTGCACGCACGTTTGGGGTTGTTCCTCTCCCAAGAAAATTCGGAAAAAATATGTAAATTGTAGATTTTTGTTTTATCTTTCCAGCCATATATTGCACACCTTGAGGAAAAATCAAGAAAGTCTTCAAATAGTCATTCTTCCACAACAACACAGTTTTGACGGGATTGCACATTATGCTGACTTAACTTCAAGGACTGCTCTCATTGGCTGCTCGAAAATTCTAGAAAAATTCCACAATCATCTTCAAGGTCTTAGCTTTCATCTCCAATTGGTCTCGTACTAAAACTCCACCAAAGAGTCTTATTTCCGTTGAAAACAAATTATTTGCTCTGGAAAGCTGAAAATTGAGAAAATAATGTAATAAGTCCTTTTTAAACCAAATTCTCCTAAAAAAAAACTAAGTATAAAGAGTACATAAATGCGTAAATTTATGGACTTATCACATATACTCAGTAGATTCTTTCATGAGCCTCGCAAGCCACACTTAGATGCCGCCATGAGCATTTTGAGGTATTTGAAAAGTACCCCAGGACAAGGACTATTCTTTCCTGCTAAAAATGAGATGAAGTTGACAGCATACTGTGATTCAGATTGGGCGGGATGCCCAACAACACAAAGGTCAACAAGTGGCTATTGGGTATTTCTTGAAAATTCTTTGATCTCATGGAGAACAAAAAGACAAAAAAAAAAAAAAAACAGTATCTCTCTCTTCAACAGAGGTTGAATATCATGCAATGACAAGTACTTAATTACTTGGTTGCTTTATCTATTGCAAGACCTGCAACTCCCAGACCCAGGACCAACTACTTTACATTGTGACAACCAAGCTGCGTTGCACATATCCGCCAATTCAGTGTTCCATGACAGAATTAGACATATTGAAATGGACTGTCATTTTATCAGGGATAAAATTTTGGATGGAGCAGTGATTACAAGATATATTTCATCTCAACAAGAAGTAGTAGACGTGTTTACAATGGCCTTGGAAAAAGAAGATTTTTCCGCTATGGTGTGCAAGTTGGGAGTTCGCAACATTCACTCTCCAACTTGAGGGGGTGTTGAGAAGTCAACTAAATCCCAATATATTAGGGACCGAGTGATTAGCCAAATTATATGTAATTGATTATACATGATTTGCTTTCCTTTATTAGTCTCTTGATTGTAGGAAAACCTGTGTATAGATACCCTTTACATTGTAAAGAGAATTACCCAGTAATCAAATATTCTTCCTTTGATTAAAATTGTACATGCTAAGCAGGCATCCGCAAGTTAAGTTAGGGGAAGCATATCAGCATGACACTCACCCACACCTTGTTACTCTTGTTGAGAAAAGAGTGTCATTCCTTTTGATAAGACAGAGCACATTCTTTCTTGTCAAGCATGTGGTAAACCATTTGAAGGATTGGTCTGGGAATGTTCAGAGTGCAATGTCAATATCCACCAAAATGGTTACCGTAAATCCACTCAAGAATACAAAAGTGATAGTGTAACCATCTCAGCTGATGTAACAGCAGCAAAAGATTCTTCAACAGATTCTTCAGCAGCAAAACATTCTTCAATAAATTCTTTAGCAGCAAAAGATTCTTCAACAGAAAGTGTCTCTGATGCTGATGTAACCATCTCAGCTGATGTAACAGCAGCAAAAGATTCTTCAACAGATTCTCCCGCAGAAGGTGTCTTTAATTTTCATTCTGGTGTTATGCTTTTGAGGTTATAACCTAACATTTTCAAATATGAATATGAATTATTTGTTACCCATAAAACTGTGAATCCGTTAGCTATAGGAGATGGTGATGATCTAGAAAGTCTAACTATGGCACATATTTTTGTGTTATGTTTGGTGTTTGCAAGAATATTACATTAAATTATTGTGTATTAAGTTTGCATGAACGATTACACTGAAGGAAGTTGAGGTTACACTCCAAAACGTTTTAAGTCCATGCTAGGGCCTGAGCTTTTACACCTCAAAACCAATAGGCAATGGGAGAGTAGCACAACTCTTTATAATCTCATATTAGGTCTCTTAACTTTTCAATGTGGTTTATTACACGCATCTTAATATCTGAAAATTTAACAGAAGAAAATAAGAAATCATATATGCATACTAATTCTTCATTTCTGTTTTTGACATTTATGTGCCTGCATATTTGATTTAAGTTTCATTGATCATGTTAAAGAAGGGGTTTTGTATTGTTAAACAGCCATGCACAATAGACATCACAAAGGAAACAGACAGGACTAAAGAAAACGTCCCGTATTAAATACACAAATTCTTTAAAAAAACAAATACTTTTTCCTTTGAAAACGAAAAAGAAAAGGATGAACTAGCAAAGAACTGCAATTGCGCGTTGGAAGCGCTTCGCGGGCCTAGGGCCCCCTCCTGCCCGGGTTGGCCTGTAGCCCTAGAAATGCCCTAAGGATAAAGGTCCATGCCCATTAAATGGCATCTCCTTGTTGGTTGGATCAAAATTAACTTTGACGGCTCAGTCCGAAACAAGAATCCACTGAGTTCGTCATACATGATAGTGATGGTCATGTCTTACTTGCAAGTGCGAATAAGATAGCTGAGACTACTATCAATGTGGCAGAGAGCATTGCTTTTTGGGATGGGCTTGTCCCATGGCCACAACCGTGAATGGCGAAAACTTTTTGTTGAGGGTGATTCTAAACTTATCATTGACGATGGCCTAAAGAAGATTTTGACTCCTTGGAGTATTCAAAAAACTATTCAAGATATTTGGAAGCTTAGATCATTTGGAGAATCCATTCGCTTTCAACATGTTGAGTCACGAAAAGAATTTGGGAAGAAAAAAAAAAGTGATTCTCTTATGGCTAAAGAAAAAACAAATTGGCGTGGCTCTTTCTATTAGATTATTCTCAAGTTAAGTATGCATAACTCCAAACTAAATATATGTAATTCTTCACATTTGTATTTTCTTAAGAAAAAAATTTTAGTAATGGTCTCTGAATTATATCCATACTTACAGTTTCGTCCTTATATTTATATTAATTTGGTTGAAATTATCTGTTTATGGCACTTTTTTCTACTTCTAAAAAGGGCGATAAGTTGTGACGTAAGAACAATTCAATAGAAACTACTACGGAATCTCAGTTTTAGTTTGGATATTACATTCTCGAAGTAGAGTAGAGTTTTGGAATATGGGTTTGGTAAAGTTTATTTAAAAGCACGAAAGCATCTGACCTTGAACAAGAAGGAGCCAAAGAAAGAAAGGGATCTTTATGTGTTGATGACAAAGAAAGAATATGGTCGCCCGATTTTCTGCTATGGGTGTGGTGACCGAGTGCTCGGGCCGGGCTACCATTGCAACATTTGTTGGGGAGGCAAATATTTCCATAAATCATGTGCCGAGCTACCGGGTGAGATCCACCACCCGATCCACCGCAAGCACCCACTTACTCTTGACACAAGTGACAGGGAAAAGAGTTGCAGTGCATGTCATCAAGATTGCTTCTGGAGATTCACATACAGATGTTTCCATTGTGAGTTCCACATTGACCTCCAATGTACTTCCAATTGGGGCAACATTCTTGACTGTCATGACCACAAATTCATCCAACTGAGGAAGCCTGCGAAATTAACTTGTGAAGCCTGCGGCATTGATAGTACTACTAATATTTATGGCACCACCTTGTACTTATGCAGCATCTGCCAGCTCCTGGTCCATAAAAGTTGTTTATGGTTACCAAGCCACGTCAAAACGGCCCACCACCAACACCGCCTAAAGCTCACCTGGTGGTTTGAAGATAGTTTCCCAAAAATCCAAAATTTCTGTGACCTCTGTTATGGAAACATGGACAAAAGCCGCGCGGTTTATTATTGTGAACATGAATGTTGCAGTTTTGTCGCCCACAATAGCTGCATAACAATACGTCTTGAGGATGTTACCGTTGATGATGATGATGATGATAGAATAATCAGCAACCAAATTGAGTTGCAAATCAATCACTTCAGCCATCCACATGTCTTAGCCCTCATCAATAGTGATCATCAAGATAATGGTGATGATGATGATGATAGAATAATCACTTGTAATGGCTGCATGCGACCCATCACCAAAATTGATGCCTTTTATAGCTGTACAAAACAAGAGTCGTCGTGCTCTTTCTTTCTACATACAGCTTGTGCACAGATACCTAAAAAGATTTGTGTCCCATTTTTATTATCTGACCGATTTGAACTCCATCCAAGGGCTCATTCGATTAGTGGGGTGTTCAATTGTTTGATGTGCGAAACGTTTGGCCAAGGCTTTGCATACTCTCATGGTATATTTAACCACATTGACCTTCACTGCACTATTCTATCGAAGCAGAAGGCTCTTAAACATGAGGCTCATGTTCACACCCTCCAGTTCAACAGAAATTTTGAAAACACTTATTAATATAGGGGTTGTGGCACTTTTGAAAAAGAGTTTTGGTTCAGTTGTAGGAGATGCGACTTCCATCTCTGTTTTTCATGTGTTAAATTAGCTCCTACAGTGAGGCACAGGTACGACAATCAACCTCTCAAGCTCACCTATGACAGTGTTAAAAACGAGTTAGATGAATATTATTGTGAAATATGCAAAGGCAAACGAGATCCCAAACTCTGGTTCTACTCCTGCTCGGATTGTGACTTTGATTGTCATCCTTATTGCATTCTCGGGAGGCATCCGCAAGTCAAGTTAGGAGATAGTTACGAGCATCCGAATCACCCACACCCTGTCACCCTTGTTGAAAAGAGGAGGAGTGAAATTCCTTCCGATAAGAGAGAGCGGATTCTTCCTTGTAAGAGGTGTGTCGACCTTGCAAAGGATTGGTGTTTGAATGTTCTAAGTGTAATATAAATTTACACGTAGAATGTCTTGACTAATTCTAATATTTAGTGGAAATTTTAATGTCTGATTTTTCAAATTAACTGATTCTCGTTTTATATTTTGTACTTACAGTCTAAGTTTTAAACATGGATATAAAATTGTTAGTTACCAATATGGTCATGTGCATGTTAAATATCGCAAACTTCCTACAAAACTCCTGAATATTTCAGCTCCATCTTCATACTTGGACAACTACACTCCACATTGCAGCGGTGTGAGCAGAAATTCTACCTTCTAGAGGTGATAGTCCAAGGTCAGAAGTAAGTACGTTCCATATAAGATCAAAGGCACAACTATGTTCAATTGGCTTTGCATAAGATCAAACCCAAACTGAACACAACGTAGGATCCTGATTACATTCGACGAAAGCGAAACTGGTCCGATTAGTTTGACTATGCAAAAGCCTTAGTCTCTCTTTGAGGTTCTGCTTTCTTTATAAATAAATAAATAAATAAAAGAAAGGGATAATCTCCTACTTGCGGTTGAGTTCAAGAATCTTCGTTGTCATAAGAAGCAATCAAAGCGACTCTTTAGTGTTAATTAGTCATGTCCACTCCTTGTAGAAGAAGACGAAGACACAACAACTTGAACAAAATTACTATAAAAATTCAAAATCCCATTACCTATAAAAGCAAGAAAGCATCAGCGATGTTTTATTGAGAGAGCGAGCTTCCTTCCTTTCTGTCTCTCTCTCTTTCTTGTTGCTATAACAGCTACTTCTACATTTCTATCTCTTCACAGCCATTGATTTGTTGATCCGTGCAGAATTCGCAGTTCATCCTTTTCTCTCTTTTTTTATATTTATACAAATAATACTGTGGATTCTAACACATGATCTCAATGACAAGGATAACTACTCTTAAGCACTTGAGCTACAAGTCTTTTGCCATTCCCAGTTCATCCTTAATTTAGGTAACGTACGGAAACACTCTCGTGATATATATATATATATATATATATATGCATTTCAAGTACGCATCCATTGATGTTCAAGGAAGAGTAGAAGGATGTTCCCTTGGTTTTTTGCTTAGCGTGTGAGGTCCCAGTACTTGGCCCAAGCTACAATTGCAAACAATGTCATTTATTTTTATTTTTTTGCAAGCAATGTCTATTTGAATCTAATTTATGTTTGTTTGAAGTGTACACAATCTCGGCCATCTCTGTCTTTAGTTTGACTAAGGTAATAAGTACGTCCATGCATGTAACTAATGGTGGTCTCACATGAACGATTCTACACACGTGCAACACAAAAACCTCTGATCTCGTTTCTCATAATTTCAACAAAATAATGGAAAATTGGCTAAAAGAGGTATTGAGGACATTTTCGCCAACTCCTTAATGAAAGGGAGAAGGTGAATTTGAACCAAATAAAAAGGAATGCAAGGGAGCTCCAAAAATGTCCTCTATGACCAAAAATCAAACGAAACGACTAAGTTTCTTGGAAACCGGTGTGACATTTGCCGAAGAGGCTCTAATGCCCAAGTTACACTTGAGAAATTCAGGAGTTCCAAGTTATGCGACTTCAAATCATGTAACTCAAATAGTTGAAGGCTTTTGGATTATATGTGTCTTGTCTAATCATAAACTGTCAATGGCCATGGATATATATTTTGTTAATGGTAAATTTCGAAGTAACGTATGTTAGATAAGAAATATGCGCCGGCAAGTTTCACAAGTTAACTTTGGATGTCATTTGAGGCTATTACTTGGATTCAAACGACTCTAATGTTTTGTTAGATGAACCATGTTTGGCAGATTTGTAGTTGATTTTGCGGACTACATAATTATACTGGAAAAAAAAATGTTAAACATGGATATCTTCTTGTATGCACAATCTTGGTCAGCACCTCTTCGCCTCAAGCCATCAGCATCAACTAATGAAAGCCAAGTCACTGGTGAATGCCAAAGGTATGGTTAGCAACTAGACAAAGACTAAACAAAAGCTTTGGGCTGCGACATGTCTCCTAAAATTTCAGTTCTATATTGCATAAGAATATATTACTAAAAGAAACTGATGTCAAATCCCACAAACTCTGTATAACTGAGATGTATCATCTCTAGCAAGGCTCGGATATAAGTTCCCGACATCTTCTGCGGCGTCGCTCATTTGCACCATAAATTTTGGTGGCTATGAATGAAGAAAAAAATAACACCCATGAATTCTAAAACGGATTGGATGAAGAAACACTCTCAGAAAAGAAGGCTGTCAAAAGCGAAACTCATTATTTCACCCTGTATTCTGATCTGTAAGCTATATGGCACACAATGTGGCGCTTTTAATGTGTGCTAGCTGCAAAAACTACACATACAAAAGGAAATTATACAACAGTGCTAAACTTTAGTATTTAACGTGTTTGTAATCCAAGACACTGGTTTTGACTAGACTCCTACCCGAAGGGCATTTCATTGTTTGTCCTTCTAAGCACTTCAACGGCCACAATGCATACCCTTCTCGTGGGATAATAGTAGTGTTCCGGTTGCACTAAACCATCTAAAGGGTTCTTGACAATAACCACTGCATGGTATTTCAAAAGTTTAGTCGAAGTGACAAAATGCTTCTAAGTTCTCGATGTGACAGTCCAAGTAAGGAATAACTTTGTTTCGTATAGATTGGAGGCACACGTACGTTCAATTGGCTTTGTAAGATCAAACCTAAACTGCGCATAACATAGGATCCTAAATACACTCGACACAACTAAACATAACACATAGGATCCTAAATACACTTGACACAACTAAACATAACACATAGGATCCTGAATACACTCGACAAAAGTGAAATTGCTCAGATGCCAATTTGTTACCTAAGCTTCAGCTTTATTTGGATTACCAAAACAGGTGCACACTTGATATCGTGTTTAGATCCCCTATGCATGTGCAGAGTATTTGATCAACATCATCATTATTTCCAAGGGAATGTAGAGACCAATTTCATTCAGGCATCTAACCCAATCTATTCCACAAATAGGAACCAAAAAGGGGATGCATATAGATTTCTGTTTTGAAAATGTTTGTTTTCCATATTTGTCAGAACATCAGGAGAATGACTATCAATCACACTTACCGATATATTTTAATCATTCAGCCATGTAAATGAAATCCATGACTCTAGCACTGGCAACTTAATAACTTAAAAGAGTTAGTATTGTAAACTAAAAATGAAATCCGTCACCGTTGAACTCACCTGGTTTTCCCTTGTTAAGTATTTGAGTCTCCTCAATTATCATCTGCTAGAAGAGCCAACACCAAACACATCTGTTCGCATGTTCATAAGAAGTAATTAGTCTCTGATCTAATCCATTTGCTGTTAGAGAATTCAAGATTATACCATGGAAACCAACTACAAGGGCCATATCTTTAGCTCACATGTTCAAGTAATGCGCAACAAAATCCAGTGAACACTTGTAATCCATTGTGAAGGCCATTATCTCTATTCAAGACTTCAGGTGTATGGGTCTGTTTCCAGGTATAAAAGCCTTCAGTTTCATTTTGTGAGCTGCCTGAATCGAAGCACCAGTGTATTCTGCTGGTGGAATTTGGATAATTTGAAAGCATGTATACTCCCTCCCTAGCTATTTTCCTTTCCAGGAAAGAGAAACGAATATCCCCAAATCTATTTTCCTTTTCAGGAAAGAGAAATGAAGAACGAAAAATGAAGGCAACCTCATCTAAGTTCAAGCAAAATGAATGCTGTCAGAGAAAATTTTTGTAAGGCTAACGAAAATGTCTGTGGCTAGTAACAGAAGCAAATAGCATGGCACAAGTGAATATTTCAAAACCTCACAATCAAAATCATCTGTTCGCAAAAGAAAGAACTCAGAATTTATAGAAATGTAAAACATATAATGAAGGCAATATAAGGAATGATAGGTGAACCAACAAAGCCCTTCTCCATGCTTCTGATTTATCCATTGATGGCAAAGAAGGTGTGCAACTATCACAACAGCAAAACTGAACTCATTTGCACTGAACACCAGCTTCAGCAGCTCGGTGAGGCTTGTTTTTCCGCCTACTCCCATTTTGTCGGAATCCAACAGACTTTGTCGAGTCATCAAGATTTGATTTTGTTTCAACGTTTTTATCCTCTTTGACTGATTTTATATTTTCTTTTACCTGAGCAGACCTCTTCCTTTTCCTTCCATTCTCTATGGCAGATTGGTTTTTCATGTCTTTGCTAGAAACATAAATTTTTGCATCCTCAACATCTTCTGTCTTCTGAGCTTCTTCTCCTTCTCCAATATCTTCCTTTAATGGTTTATGTGGCCTTCCTCTTCTCCTGTTTGGTGGAATCCTCTCCTCTTCACCACTTCCAGGATCCTCACGAACAGCAATAATGCTTTGTTTCTTCCCTTTACCTCTACCTCTACCCATAGTAAATAAACCTCGTGAAGAAAATTCCACACTAGAAAAATTTCTGCAAATACAAACAAATGATTTTAGAAGCAAAACTCAAAATGAGTAACAGACTAAACTCCACTAATCAGCGTGCAAAGTTTATAATACAGAATACCAGTATTAAGGTATCCACAAGCAGAAGAGGATTAAAGCAAATCCACATCAACTTCCAATGACTATTAATGAAACCAGTATATATATATATATATATATATATTTGAGCTAAAACTGAGACCTTTAAGGAACAGGAAAATCCTAAACCTTACCTCAAAAAGGTACTACATACTACAAAAAAAATCAGAAAGTTAAAGTCAATCATGACTGCCTCTTTAATTCCTTACACTATCTTTGGTTTATGAGAAATTCAATTGAGAAGAAAGAAAAATGCAGGCTCGAACCCTTCACCCCTATCATTTCAATACCCAAAAACAAAACTGCATCTTTGATGCTGCCAAGAGATTCTATTATCTAGTGGCTCCGACTCAACTAATTCAAGCATTAATCAAGCCAGTCCAGAGAGTTTGAAAGGAAAATAAATGGAAACACTAGAAAACGGTAATAAAGTATCACAAACCAGCTAAACCCTTTGTAAACTATATTCAACCTGAACAAGGTATTTATTAAACTTTGCAGATAAACAGGAAAGGGCAATCACTTTTGGATCAAACACCATTCTGGCTTCACTTTCAACAATCCAAATCAGTAATTTCAAGTTTGGCTGCTAAAACATTGCAAGACAGATTACATAAAATATGTTCAATTTGAAACTTACGACTTAAGATGTTTCCAGATTATGAAGCACTAACTCAACCCAAACACGATAATTAGTCTCGTTGAAGTAACTCACTTTGATTTTTCAGGTCCCAAACAGAGAGAAATCCAGGATTGACAAAAGCAATTTATTTTCTTTGTCTACCATTAATCTTCACAGAACAAAAAACAGAAGCACTCATATTAGAAAACCAAAGCGTGACAAAGTACATATGCAACATAGAGAAGAGCGAAGCAAAGAAGAATGAAGCTGACCTGAAAGCAAATATCCACTTTCTGCATCTTATTGGCAAAACCCATTTCTCGCAATCTGATTAGAGCAATCAATAAACTAACAAAAACCCAAGAACCAAATAGGCTGTTTTCTATTACTGGCTTTTCCAACAGTGAAGTAGCAGAAGCCAAAAGAAATTGAAAACTAGGATCTGAATAACAAGTAAAGAAGACCCAGATCAGAGAATCATGTCATCAAAGAGAAACGTTAGCACAAATATTATTGGAGCCTGAACAGATTAATCAAAAGCAATACTGAGCTTTTGAGAGGTTAGCTAAAGAGAGGAGGCAGAGAGAAAGAACTTGAATAGAGGAAGCGAGGAGAAGAAACTGGTGAGAAAGTAGTATGTGAGTTTTTTGTTTTTTTTTAATGTTTGTTTGTTTGTTTTTTTTTGTCCTTCTCTCCACAGTCCGAGGGTCATATGTATGTGTTAAATAATGATCAGTATTCTATAACTAGCATTAATGTTTTTTTTTTTTTCCTCGTCAAATAGCATTAATGCTTAGGTCACGATGGAATCCAGTTGAATCCAACGTGTATATCCTTTTTTTTAAAATATAAATAAATAAATAAAAATTCACACAACCTCTACGAAATTTACGAAATTATCAATTTTTATTTTTTTAAGTGCTATTATTTTCCCTTCGTCTCATTTCTCCACTCACCATATAAATTTGAAAAAATAAAATCTTATCTTTCCACCGGCCGTTATTACTAAAATTCCGTTTAAATTTTAATTCATTTAAAATGTTAAAAATATTCATATCTTATTCATATTTTAATTAACGTTATTCCTAAACTCTTCACCTTCCTCTCACTTAAATCTCTCTCATCCCCATCAACCGTCTCTTTTTCGATTCCTCTTTCCCCATTTCTGGTTTGATCTCCAAAGACGGCGCTTCACCGGGGACATATTGTTGATCGAGAAATTTTTAGGAACCAACCCATACGTATCCTTTTAACTAAAAATCCACCTATAAATTCCTTTACTTTTTTCTCTTTGAGTACAAGCATAGCTTGCATCAACCTTGGAGGGGGAATCATTTGTTGGGTTTTTATTTTCCTTCCGACAACAAAAAATAAAAGCACTCTGCTACTTTCTAGCGTTTTTCAAAATTTTTTTTTTTTTTTTTTAAATTTGTAATTTTTTATTTCGAGTTTCGACTCACGTGATAATACAAATTTGAATAAAAAGATTGCTATTACCAATCTGCTCCATTAATTTATAGCCAGCTGCTAAATGTTTCTTCAACAATGGGCGAATAATATAGTGAAGAGAGGGTCGAAGGGGAGGAGGAAGAAGAAGAAGGGTAAAGGGTTTGCCAATTAATTGGGAGGAGAGAGAGTGGGAGCAGTTGAAGCTTTATTCATAAAGTTAATAAAAATATTTATTAATGACATATTGCTTCAGATGTCATAACATTATTAGTCCGTAGTTTTTTCCCTAAGCCCTTAGAAGTCATTGTACAAGGTAATTTGTCTTTAAAATTTTGAGGATAAGGTGAATTGAGAAATAGGACAGGAAGTGAAAATAGCAGCACTCAAAAAAAAATTTCACGCAACATGTTATAGCCTTTTTTTCGTCAAGGATTGTCATTCCAGTTCATTTTGCACTTTCAATTTTATCTTTGTAGTTGAATTTTGTCAATGGGATCAACAGACATGGGCTTAAGAGTATCTCCAACCGATACGTCAAAAAGTGCCAAAATATTTAACGGCTAGAAATAACATCTTACATCACTACAACTGAATTGTCAAAACTAATGTAGAATAAAGGCTGGAGGTTTACTTTTGACATCTCAAAAGCAAGATTTCAAATGAATATTTTATTAGTTTTTAAAGACAGCTGGATGTTACTTTTATTTATTTATTTATTTTTTATCTTGAATGATTTGACAGTTACAATAATTATTTATTTACAAATTTATAAATAAACCCAATCCTAGACATGTATTTATAAAAAAACCCAAGCACTATTTAAACATAGAAACACACCCAAAATCAACTCCAAAGTCAACTTTTTGGGTGTGTTTATAAATGTGTTTTGAGTGTGTGTAATGATGGGTTTTGGGTGTGTTTATATATTTAAATAGTACTTGGGTTTTTTTATAATTTCAACTCCCATTTTGGGTGTTTTAGTGAAACTCCCTTATTTATTTGACATATCGTGTGAAGTGTAAAACTGTGCAAATGTCATATTGCCACATCAGCCATCAAATTTAAATTTGATGTTTGGTATTTGATAGCCAAGTCGGTTAGAGCGGATGTGCTCCCTACTAACAATTTAAAATTTCAATACTCGTAATAGATTTTTTTTTTTTTTTAAAAAAAAAACCATTATTTACTTTGTATTGTATACACAATGACCAAAAATATGTTTTACTTTAAAAAAAAGTATATTAAGCCAATGACTTTGAAGAGTATTAAACTCGAGAAAACAAAGCACCTCATTTTAACAATAAGAAGGGCTTAACGATATGGATGAAGCAACCTTACCCACAGGTAGAAATACTTGAGTTATGTTCTAGCTAAAGTATGAGTGGAAGCGTTTCTGGTGGCGTCAATAACATTTCTAGCTAAAGTATGAGTGGAAGCGTTTCTGGTGGCGTCGATAACATTTCTAAAAGGCCATGACCATGGCCATGGTGTATGCCGGTTGCAATGGCCTTCGCTGCTAGGCTTGGAAGCTATATTTTCCTTTTTAGGTAACCAAAAACTACGAAATTTTGTAACGACAAGAAATGGAACTAAAGCCTCAAGTTGGGTCGAGTAGAACATCTAAATCATAGCGCCAATTGCTCTTTAATCCAATAAGAAATGGAACAAAATTGAGATAGCACATAACATAATCTTCTCGACCTCAAGAACAGTGAATCTGTTAATGAACATGCTTTAGAATGCTTCAAGGCTTCAACAAACTCATTGACCAATAATCCAACTACCGGCACAGCCAGTTCGAAAATCATGTACACCTTCCCAATAACAATTACTTCCAGGCATTCAATAAAATTTAGAAACGAATGAAAAGGGCGAGAGTAAAAATCTCAACCAAGCTAACAGTTTTCTCTCAGAATAGGCCATTTCCTTCATTCATGAGCCACCACTGCAGATCATTGCTCTACCTTTTCATCTGTTTTTGGCAACTCGTGGCCAAGAGTTTCAAATCTGTAAGACAAAATATGGGAAGTATTTTGACAGATAATAGGTCAAATTTCATGTAAACCATGCATGCTATTTCTTTTTACCCCAAGCATTCTCCTTATGCAGCAACATGAAATAACAATAACTCAGGTAAAGCACTGCAACTTTTATAAGACTAAAACCAGATAACTGTTGACCTATGGTAAAAGAAGTCAAACTGATGACATAAGTTTTCAGGGTCATCTCATGATGATAAGCTATTTCAAGCTGAACAACTATTGAATGTGGAAGTGCAACCAGCTGTGGTAAAGTGGCGATGTACTCAGTAAGTCATAACTAACAAGATCTTGCACATCGGAAAAAAAGGGTGAAATTAAAAAGAAAACTGCATCAGATTATAGAAAAAATCATTAAATGACTAGCATCTATGTAGAACATGGACGGTCAATTACTTACGACAGGAAATGCACACATACACGAACACACTTACAAGGTACAATAACCTGGTGCTAAATAAACTTTGCTTGTCATATGTTAGTATCAACTTAAGAAAACCAGTAATGCAGGAAAAAAACAAAACAAAAACAAAACAGTAAAAGCAATGAATACTTTAGTACTTGGAATAAATTTCGTTCTCCAAATCCTGCCAAACTTGAGGACCACTAGGATGACGATTTACATAATATTTTATAAAATATGTATCTGAGCAAGAAATAATAGTGTTCAAGGAAAGCCCAGGATCAGCTGTTCCGTGATCTTTGAGCCAATTGTACATGAATATCCTATGCTGGACCCTTTCAATTTTATAGGAAAGATATCTTGGGAAGGTCAACAAGGATGACAGGGGATAACCCAATTGTTTTACAAGAAAATCAATCTTCAATTCAATGACATCCTTTGTCTGGTTAAGAATTTGAGGGCTTACTTTAATCATTTCACAGACATCCTCCTGACTCAAACCAGCTTTCACAATGCAGTCAAATCTTTCTTGAAGCTCCCCTCCCTTTCCTCGAAGCGCTTTTTTCACTTTGTTTGAGTTGTCTACAAATCCTATATCTAACAAGAACTTAGTCTTTTGTGTCTTTGATATATGCTTTTCTCCTGAGCCTGGAAATGGATCAACTCTTTTGCCCAAAACCCAATTCTTCAACTCTTGTGGGTTCTCCTGGATGTATCTGCACAATCGTGTCTTTCCAGTGTTCAAGGTATTGAGTAAGCTGTTAGCTTTTTTCAAAGAAATCGAGCCCAGTAGCAGGGGATGGGAATGGACAATCTTCCCAATCTCTGAAACCTTCATCTCAATGTCATTCAGGAACAAAATGCACTGTCTCAAATTTGTAATGAATTTCACAACTGGAATCTGTGGAAATTGTAGAAACATTGAACATAACTGGCTCTTTGTGGATCCAAATTTCAGTAACAATCCAATTAGTGAAATTGTCCTTCCCCCTGAACCCTCAAATAAAATATATGGGTGCTGGCCAATCAATTCACCCAAATGCTCATTGCTGCAACCCATCTCACTAAACAACCTTAGTAATTCAAGCATCTGGCTCCAATTATAAGAACTATCTGCCGATAAATTCCCCTCAATCCAATTGGTTTCAAATCCAATACTCTTCAAGTTTTCTAATGCCTTAACAAATTCCACATTTACATCCCCAATGAAAAGATAAGGACTAGCAACAAGAAACTTAATCAAAGTAGGTTGGCTAAGACCGAGTTTTTCATAAGCTTTAAGTTTTGATAGCAAAACCTCAAAATCATATTGAAAGACTTCTGTCGCTTCCTTGTAAATCTTTCCTATCTTATTGCGTGCAATCCCATAATGACATAGAACAGTATAATTGTGAACCAACAACTGATCATCAGACAAAAACATCAAACTACGTGGAAGAAGAGGAAAATACTCAGAAGGTTTCAAACCCAAGCTTTCAAAGAAAGGCTCAAATTCGTTAATAGGGTGGTACCTCAAGAACCGGGAAATTTCTCGCCCAATTTCTTTTTCATTATTCTTTTTCATACGAATCTCTTTTTCACTATCAACCCGTTTCAAAAGTTTGTCCAGAAAATGCGGCGAGTTTTTACTCATATTCTCTGCATCCATGAAGCGTACCCCTCTTGTACCATGCAAATAATCCAGCAATGCAGCTTGCGCTTCTTTTTTAATGGAACTAGATATTCGACCAGCATTTTTTTCATCACCAGTTGAGGACTTAACAAAATTTTCTGAATCTTTATCTTCAGAAGCCCTTTTTGTTCTGTAAAGTCTAAGGCTTTGGGCATTGGAGAAAGACCCAATTGGCTGAAATGGGGTTGCTGATGATCTAAGGTGGTTCTCATAAAAATTTAAAGAAACCCATTTGAGAATAGATGCCACTCTGAGTTTCTGCAAATGGGTCATGACCAGTTTGAAGAGAATCCAAAAATCCCCAGATTCAGCTTAAAAGAAATGAATATGAAGTCTTTCGATGAAATATTACCTTGCAATTTTGAGCAACACTTAGGCATGAGCTCACTCCTCAAGAAAGATTTAGAGCTTCAGCAGCAGGAGCTTTTGGTACTGATGCTTATTGAGTGGTTGCCTTTCCAGGGGGTTTTGGTTGCAGAACTCTCGTCGCCAGAAGGGTTTAAGATTTTTGTTTTTTTTTTTTCTTGTTTAGGTCAATAGGGTTTTATCACTTAACGTGCCCAGTAGAAGGACATTTGTTTGGTTAATCTCGGCCTACTCCATTTCCGTTCTTTCTATCATTTTATTTTGGGACAAATCATAATTTTAGGAAGTTAGGTCCAGGTTAGTTGTGGGTATATTTTGTGGGCCCAGTCAACCTTTCACGCCCTGTCCAGTTTGTGAAGTTAAGATAAATTAGTAGAAAATAGAGGATAAATTAATCATGAAGGGATATATATTAGGGTGTTCATTTTTTTAAATAAGCAATATTTGGGGAGACGAAACCGAACCTAAGTCCATGGATGTAGGGGTAATAAGATGTTTTAGGAACATGTCATGGTGAATGCTTTGCATACACTATGTTACATGGTTTTTCTTTTTTTCTTTTTAAATCAAGTTTTTTTTTAATATAATAATCTAAATTACACGAATCTACGATGAGAATAATTCGATCTTGGATAAAAGGGGTGAGCGCATTGCCTCACCAAGTGCCCCGTGTGAAGTCAAAGGAAAACAGCAAAGAAATGAGCCTCCGAAAAAGGCAAACAAACTGCAAAAGCCCCGTTGCCGTGGAGTGTTCATAATCTTTAAACATTAAAGTCCCTGAAGGCGGGGTGAGATGCCGCCAGATAAGACGAGCTGTTAGCTTTTATGTAGAAACCACCACGATCTCATTCTACCCAGGAAATCAAAGCATGAGGCAAATATGTGGTTTCACCCTTTCATCTGTTTTCTATCAGTTTCCTGAGAAGAATTTTTCTTTGGCAACTCATGGCCAAGGATTTCAAAATTACTACAAAAGAAAGATGAAACTTAACATATAATAGCTGAAATTTAACTAACGCTCATTGCACCAACGATTTTCCTGATGCAGCAACATCAAATTAGAATGCCCTTGGTAAAATCACTGCAGTCTTTTATAACACCGAAAGTTCAAATCAGAAAATCAAACTCTGATAATAGATGTCAAAAAGGGAGGACAGGATTTCAGGTTTGTGAGGTTAAACAGTTTTACTGAGTACGTGAAAAGTACAATATGCTATATGCAAAGTGGAGATGCACCAAAATTGACAAAACCACGAAAGCTCTGCACATAAATGAAAACTCAAATGTCAGTATGTGAAAAACGAAGAGAAGAGTTGCATTATAATAGTGATGATATTACTAAATCATTTCATCACTGCAAAATGCAAACATCATGGAATCATTGAATCCCCAGCATGTATCAAGCATTCTTAACACCACATATACAAAATCCCCAGCATATACACTTATTGCCAATTGCTTTTGGGTCAGCTTCTCCAGCTTTAACATTGTACCCCAATGATAATTTATCTGCAAGGTCTAGTTCGACCAAACGTGACAACGTGCTCCATGTCACGATATTATTGAAACACATATTTTTGGTTCATTGGGATCACATTTGAGGGGGTTCTTGAGAACAGAGCATGGACATTTTAGAACCTGTATCTAAATACATAAAATCCTCTAACTTTACCCATTGCCAATTTGTTTCTGTTGGATGCAACTTTAACATTAACATTATGCTTAACGGATAGTCAATACTAAATATATACACAAAACACACTTCAAACAACCTGGACTTAATTCTATTTTGCCCGTGCTTGTTCTTATGTGCTATATCACCTGAAAACTGTTAATGCTCAATAAAAATTTCAGCATGTAAAAGAAAAAGGATCATGTATATTAGTACCAACTTGGGATCACCCAGCAATGCAGAACCTTGACAGGAGAAGAATATAATATTTTAATACTAGGAATAAAATTTACTCTTGAAATCCTTCCAAACTTGAGGACCAGCAGGATGATGATTTACATATACCTTCAAAAATTTAGCATCTGACATTGCAACAATAGTGCTCAAGGCAGGCCTAAGGTCTACCTCTCCTTGACCTTTGAGCCAATTGTACATGAATACCCTAAACTTGACCCTTTCAGTTCTATAGCAAAGATATGATGGAAAGGACGCCAGATATGATATGGGATAACCCAAATGATTTACAAGAAAATCAATCTTCTTTTCTATCACACCCCTTTTCAGGTTAAGTATTTGCGGGGATACTTCAATCATTTTACAGACATCCTCGCGATCCAAACCAGCATTCACAATGCAATCAAATCTTTCTTTAAGCTCGGTTCCTTTGCCTCGAAATACCTTCAGTGCTGCTTTCATTTTGTTTGAGTTCTCTACAAAACCTTTGTCTAACAAGAACTCAAGCTTCTGTGCCTTTGATATTTGGTCCTCTTTGGCTGCTGGAAGTCGCTCAACTCTTCTGCCCACAACCAAATTCTTCAATTCTTCTGGGTTCTCCTGTATGTATCTAGACAGGCGCTTCTTTCCGACGTTCAAGCCAGAAAGTAAGGTGTTGGTTTTTTTTATAGCAATTGAACCCAGTAACAGGGGGTGAGAACGGATAATCTTCCCAACCTCTGCAACCTCCATCTCAATCTTATTAAAGACCAAAAAGCAATTCCTCAAATTCAAAACAAATTTCGTAACTTGAATTTTTGGAAACTGCAGAAACATTGAATATATCTGGCTCATAGTGAATCCAAATTTCAATAAGAATCCAATTAGTGAAAATGTTGTTTTCCCTGATCCCTCAAATAAAATATCTGGGTGCTGACCAATTAGTACACCCAACTGCTCATCACTGCAACCCTTCTCACTAAACCAATGTAGAACTTCAAGCATCCGGCTCCAATTATAAGAATGTTCTTCCAACAAATTCTCCTCAATCCAACAGGTTTCAAATCCAGAACTCTTCAATATTTCCAATACCTCAACGAATGCAGCATTCACATCCCCAATTAAAAGATAAGGACTAGCAACAATAAACTTAATCAAAGCAGATTGGCTGATACCTAGTTCTTCATAAGCCTGAAGTTTTGATGGCAAAACCTCAAAATCATATTGAAATACTTCTATTGCTTCTTTATAAATCTTTCCTATCTTATTGCGTGCAATCCCATAACGACACAAAACAGTATAATTATGAAGCAACAAACCATCATCAGTCAAGAACATCAAACTACGAGGAAGATAAGGAACATACTCGGAAGGTTTTAAGCCCAAGCTCTCAAAGAAAGGTTCAAACTCATTAATAGGGTGATACCTCAAGTACCGGGCAATTGACCACCCAACTTCATCTTCATTTTCATTATCCACCCTTCTCAACAGCTTCTCAAGAAAATGTGGCGAGTTTTTACTCATATTTTCTGCATCCATGAACTGCAAGCCTCTAGTACAATGCAAATAATCCAACAATGCAGCCTGTGCTTCTTTTATAATAACTCGAGAAATTCGAGCAGCATTTTCTCCATTAGACGTCAGAGTGTTCTCCAAGTTTACAGAATTTTCCGTTTCAAGACCTCTTCTTGAACTGTAAAGCCTAAGGGTTTGGGCATTGGGGAAAATTGGCTTAAGTGGGGTTCTTGATAGTCTAAGGTGGTTTTCAGCAAAACTAGAAGAAACCCATTTCAAAACAGATGCTGTTGTGAGTTTTTGCAAACGGGTCATGAGCATTTCGATGAGATTCCAAGCCTAGTAATTATTAGAAGTTAGAACCCAAAAGGTATTCTCCACTGAATAGAAATGAACATGACTTCAGAAAATATTACCTCAGAGATTTTGATGGATATGCGGCAACGCCTCTCTACTGAACAAGACTCAGAGCTTCCTCTCTAAATTTATCTCATACTGCTGCTGCCTTCTGGTTGAGGGTCTGGCTTACAATATTTTTGTTGCCGAACGGTTCTCAGTCTCCGACTCTTTTTTCTCTTTTGCTCAAAAGTCTGAGTCTCCGACTTCGCAAAGTTAGGGGTTTTAGAAATAAGGGGCACCATTCAAAATTGGTCGGCTTCTTGGGGGGTTGATACAAGTTGGGGAGGGATGAACTACCTCTGCTGCAGAATAAATATTCTTGATCACTTAGAAATATAAGCCCTTTGCATATTAGAATGGGAATTGACACTCAAAAAATGTCCTACTCTTAGTTTTTTGAGATATTTAGTCGTACCATTCTAAGCATTAAAACTATATATAAATTACACAATTTAATTTTTATAAATAAACCCAAAAAACACTCAAAAAAATGACAGTTGGCCATATTGAATTTAATTTTAATTATTAAATTACTTTAATGCCTTATTGGGTGTTTAAGGTTTTCTTATGAAGTTTTGAGATTGAGTTTGTTTTAAGAAATCAATGACAGTTTTGTAATTTAAAAGAAGTTAAAAGTCTTTTTGATATGTTGTAAATGAGATTTAATTGTATTTAAAAAGTTCATTTCTTATAGGTTTTTTTTATAATTTGGGCTCCTAAATTTGGTATAATAGTAAACCTCCTTAGTTTTTTTTCTTATATTTTAAAAGGCAATAACAAAGAACTTCTATCTCAAGGGCCTATTGGTATTCCAAAAATAAGGTTAAATAGTGTTTTGACCTTTGAACTTGTCCCTCACTTTCAATTAACCCCATATCCTTATGTTTTTAGAAAATTAAGGATTTATACTTTTATTTTTCTTCAATTTCCCACATTTCATCCAATTTTCAATTAAATCATTTATAAAAAATTGAAGAAAAAGAAAAAAATTGACAGCAATAAAAATCAGAAGAAGAAAAAGACACTAAAGA